CGCCACCTCGCAGTTAAGGTATGGTTCATCGTGCAACTCCGGGCTCACTCTCACTCATGGCGACATCAGGTCGGATACAAGGAACATCTCAACCCCCATGAGGTCGATGGCGTCTTGAACACGCGATGAGAAGCTGGGCAACACGACAATCGAACATGGGTCTACACTATGGACTACGGATAAGGTGGCTATTAAGTTGGTTGTCATTACCTTTTCCAGGAATAGACTACTACTTCACAGTCAGTAATTGCTCATGAACATTTGCTGGAGGATCGAGAGTAGGTACCTAGAGCGAGGCAAGAGCGGACGCTAATCCCCATCAGGAAGTTGAGTCTAGATGTCTCCACACAGTGCACATCGTCTCAGAGGGTACTTCATCAGCTACCCGTACGGGTACCCGAGCGAGACGAGGAAAAGAATGCAGGGTAAATGAGAGAATCAATGTTCAATGTATTGTGTGCCGGGCTGCAGTCTGCATGTAAGGTATTGCTCGCTCTGCCTGCAGATGCATGCAGGCTAAGCTACTGGATTGATTCGCCTTTGCGACTTGCCATGGAACTTGCCGTCATAGCCCATCGTAAGGTGAGAGTAGAGGCCACCAACATGTTTAGGAAAATGACATTCGAAGGGATGCCTCGAGACATGGCTAGATTGTTTCCTTCACTAACAGCAGAGTCTCTAGGAACACAATCTGCCAGGGTCACGAACAGGAGCTGCTTGCTCTTCCTGTTGCTTTCCTCTACCCCTGGCACATCACACGCGAGCATGCTGACTTGGTCCACTGGATCGGTTTCTTTGATCAAACGAACTCGGACTCCGGAGCGCGCAACAGAAGATGCTTGTTTGGTGTCAAGTCAGGGGGGGACTTGGTCTGCTCCGTGGCCCGTTCATCATCGGGCCCGTTTCTTATCGAAAGTTGTTATTCTGCAGCATCTCGCGGCAGTACGACTTCACACAAGACAAGCAAGGCCTATGTACGCTGGAAAGCCACACAAGATGAAGAGGAGCGGTGGTGGCAGCAGCGGCGGCAACACAGCATCGTGCAGAAAACAAATAATGTACTTCTCGGTCGTTGCCAATGATTTCCTTTCCCTTTCACGATGCATCGCGACAGCAGACAAGAGAACATGCACACGGAGTGGCAGGCAGCTCAGATGCCTCACGCCCAGCATCGGCGTCAGTCAGCAATGGAAATGCCAGAGTGAGAGTCAGATCCAGGTCCCGGGGAGAACTGGCGAGCGGTTGCCGATCGAAGAACGCCTCCCCTTACCCTACCGCTCCTTCCCTGCAATTCCCCAGTCATAATAAGTCTGTGTCTCTGCGTCGCACCCCGTTGAGCCCAATTCAACCGGATCTTTTCCGTGCACGTGACGATCCGATCCTCCACCCCGGTATAACACTTGTCAGAGAAAACGGTGGCTCTTGCTTCGCCTGATTCACTCACGACTTGCCTGCGGCGTGCCTGCTTTCCAGACTCCCGACTCCAGACTCCAGTATCCTCTTTCCCTTCCTGCACCGTGTGTGTTCGTGGTTTCCGAGGCTTCGACCGACCTTGCCTGCTCCACACCACCAAACCGCTCTGCCCGATGCACTCGGGGAGTCGGGGCTGCAACTGACACGGCGTTTCGTTTCTTTCGACAAATTATCTGACCTCAACCGTTTTCCTACCGACCTGTTGGCGCTTGTCGCTCACATCCGGCTCTACCCTCTTTTTTGTACTCTCGCAAGCGGATAACCCGTACGTACTCGTTCGCATCCCGCCAGACTTGTCCGCAGGACGTTAGAGACCGTGCGTGTGTGATGAGTTCGCGGCGCCTCGAACCGCGGTTCACACCCTCAACATCCTGGGGCACATGGGATCACTGCCGCTTTCGGTCTCCGCGCAATATGACGGGATGGTTCGCAAGAATCTCGTTCAACGGGGCAAGCGATACAGTCCAGCCTTGCGCTCGGTCGGTGCTCTGAGCCCGAGTCAGGTTCGTTTCCGAATCCAGTGTACCTAAATGGGCGCGACTCTCGTTCATGTCGCTCGGAAGTCAACGGCTTGACGTCAATTGTATTTTGAAGGGTCGCACTCAAGTCTTTCAGGCCTGTCAGTCTACGTGAACCAGATCTCGCGGCATTCCTCGGCCAAGGAAAGGCTCTTGGTCTCTAGCCTACCGAGGGCCAAATTCGGGAGGTACCAGGCGGCTCCCATGACGGATTCTCGTTTTCTCGCCTGGCAGTCGATGCAAGAGGAAGTCGTCCAGAAGCAGAAGCTATTCGAGGCATGCCATCTCGCTGGTACTCCGGCCATAGATGGGACGGTAGCTTCGTAATGACATGCTGACCACGTTGTGCCTAGGCTCCTGCGATTCGCCGTTGCATGTACAAAACGGCTTGAGCCAACAGTTCCCGATTGAAGCAAATCTAATGGGAATTTTGTTCCCGCGTAATATTTCCAAGCAGTCAAGTGAATTGGGAGAAGAAGGGGACTAAGATGATATCACTGAAGAAAAGTGCCAGTCTGCTTTTCTGAGGCTGCACCGTTGTTGTCTCCCATCTAGAAGGATGGCACCCTCTCTGCTTCGTTTCCAGAGTATTCCTCCATGATTGCAACGCAAACACGGCTGAGAGCTCCACGGGTGTAGTGAAAAAGATAACGCCTATAATGCAGACTATATCCAGCCGCAAGACGACATCGTCAAAAATCCATAGGCGTGCTAGACACGTTGGGCTGCGAAAGCTAAAAATTTCCGGCGACAAGAGTTTCGAGTGTATTTACTACTAGACAGGATACTAGGCATGGGTACCGTGTTACTCTCGAATTCGACTCTGGTGCTCGACAAATCCAAGCGGCCGATGAGCCCCGCGAAGCATCGCCATCCACTGACCATTCGATGATTTCTGCCCAGCCATGACGCTCTCGATGTCGTTGATTGCTCCGCGTCCAATTCCAAAATGGTTAGTGGCCGATCTCACGAGCCCGGATTTCAGCGTTTATCGGCCGAACCACGTTATTCGGTTCTTAGCAAGTTCAAGCTTGGCATTCTGCCCTGTCCAACGTCTTTTGACTCCAAGGCTAGACGTCTTTGGGAAGCAGAGGGGAAGAGCTAGTAAAGCGTGTGCACTGTCGTCCACGAGAGCGTGCTACTAGCGAGGATGCCCCGAAATAGGGATGTCAGCAAGGACATGCTATTTTTCTTTCTTTTCGACAATGCCATACTGCTCATAAGGAGCAACCGGCTCGGACAGTCTTTCTCATTGCAGTCTATGGATATGAACGACTGTTCGGCGAAATTACCGCGGTATCTAGACCAACTTCCGCAGGGACGACGAAGTGGGATTGCAATTATGGGCATTTAGATCGCTACCGCCATCATACATACATAGCCCACATCACGAAGCACATCCTGTCACCCCGGCTGCCTAGAGACGAACAGCGCCCGCTCCACAAAGCTTCCTTCTTGCTCTAGCCTCCGAGCTTCAGCAGCCCCTCTCTCCTCTGTGTTGCCGCCCGCCCTGGTGTGATAAGAGAGATCCTGCTCAACCTGCACCATATCACAAAGCCTTGGCTCGGCCTTCGCCTTCCGGCTTGCGGAGGTAAAATTGCCGTGAAGAAGAAAACAGCCGGCTGGTTCCACGTCCACGTCCACGTTTTGCGTGCTGACAAACGTGATTTGCTGGTTGGAAGGGGAGCTTTTTTTTTTTACTTTTAGGGGAGAGGGGCCGGCCCACGGTTGGTGCTGGGACTAAAGGAAGACGCGTTTCTTTCGTGAAGTTGCTTAAACGCGCTTCGCGTCGCGCCGGGATTTCCTACAGCAAAGCCGAAGCCGATCTGAGGATAGTCTGTCCGGACGTGGATTATCTACTAGATGAAGCCGTTGTAGAAGTAATGGTAAGAACTTGCGAGGCAGAAGAGGCATTGAATTTGGGGGCTCGCTTTATTGGTCTTGTCTTGCGGCCACTTTGGGGGGAAAATATCGAATCAATCATTCCGGAATTGCCATTCTGCTCAGACACATAAATGCCTTTGAGCTACTCTCTCTTGTTATCAATACAGTCAGTCACCTTAGTCCCCACCAGTCTTGCCAAACCCATCCTACTTGCAATGAGAGTCTATTTCGGATTCGAGGCCAGGCAGGCTGTGATGAAGACTTGAACACATCCTCCCCTGCCAATTGCCCCAGAATGCTACAATGTCATCAGTATCTCTCAGAAACCCATGAGAAGTGCGGTCCAGACTCCAGGGGGGGCGACATGGTATTCTCGAGCCAGATCTCCCCGTATTGATGCCCCTCGTTCCCGGCGTCGGTCTTTGAGTTTGACCTAGTTCCGCCTCGGATCCAACGTCAAATCCGAGGAACACCGCGGATCGCGTGTGCCGGGGACAGGAGAGACTTCGCCACGCGGTATGCTGTTTGAGTTTTCCATGGTGCGATGTCGCTGAATGTATGTTGTCGACTATCGTTTTTCTTTGTCTATGTTGCCCTTTTCCTCCGGTTGAGAGCTATCCTCTTGCGGACTCGATATAGTTCAATCGCGCACGGGACGAACCGTTCGTGCATGTATGTATTCAGCTGTCGGCCTTACACACATCCTTGACTGGAGCCAAGTCGGGTGGGATAACCCGCAGTCTAGGTATTTGAAACAAGTGCGCGTAGGAAGACTTAGTAATACTACGGTATATATGATTTGTGGTGTTTGGCGCTCCAATGAGAATTTTCCTTTCATCTACCGGAAGATCCTAAGTTTGCATATTCAGGTGGGAATAAAGTCAAAATCTCGAACCTTCTTGATAACCTTATTTGAGTGCCATCGACCTATCCCCCATGTGTGGTGCGAAGAACAAGGTAATCCTAAGCGGCGAGTGATTCTGATTACAGCTCATCAGAGTTGAGCATTATGAGCTATACGAAGACTGTTTACTCGAAGGCTGTGGCTGATGTGTCGATTTGCCTAGCCAATATACTGAGGCCCGCCAGCCTTCGAATACTCTCGTGTACAGTCTCTCATCGAGCCTAACAGTATGGCAGAGACGTGTCAGAGCAGCTCCCAGCAATGAACTTCTGGCCCACCTTGGGCTTATCTGCTTCAAAGAGTTGCGCCGATGGATCAAGAACACGATCGATGATATGAACGACGCCCTAGGGCCAAAACTCCCGTTAGCACTATTGGTTCCGAACAGTTCGAATCGACACAAGTTGGAGATCTTGTCTTTTTCTTTGCAAAAACAGAACGCACATTGGTAACCCTCAAATCTCCCTCCGTCACCGCCGCAACATCATTCAACCACACCTGTCCATCCTTGACCTGCGTGCCAACGTACAAGTACGACCCCGTCTGGATCCTGGTCGCAGTCTCGTTGAAGACGCTGGTGAGCAGCTGCGAATTCGGCACGTAATGGTGCTGCACCAGATTGCCGAGCCACCACTTGCCCTTTGGCGTCGGCAAAAAGGTATTGAAGTACTGTCCCGTGTGTTTCTCAAACGCAGCGTTCGAGGGCGCGAAAAATGTAAAGTCCCAGGTGGGAACGGTGTCGAACGCCTCCGTGAAGCCCGCGGATTCTTCGAGGACCTCGGCGAGCGTTGTCAGGTCGCTCCTAGATTTGATAAAGTCTAGGAGGGTTGTCGTGTTAGGGGTCTTTGAAGGCACGTAGGTACCCGCCGGTTTGGATGCGTACGAGAGCGGGTTCCTCTCTGCGGCGGTCACCGTTGATATCGTTCCGAGAGTGAGAATGCTCAGTAGGTTGATAAGCTTCATTTTTATGTGAATAGCAAGGTTTGTCAAATTAGTGTCGCGAGGAAAAGAAGCAAGATTCAACGACACGAGGAGTGGCAGTCTTATACCAGCAATTTCACATGGACGAATATACCATGCTAATTGGACCACAACACTCGTTGTATTCAATTCATCCCAATCCCCCGCGACTAACAACTAGTCACCGGGTCAATCTCCCGGGCCGGCTCCATACGCCGAGAGTCGTCCCGGGATGCGGGGAACAAGATGGAAAGACGACCCCCCGCAGATCTGATCTTTCCCCGGACGGGGAAGCTGCAGCGGAAATATCCTCCGGATGAAGTTGGATTTCTCTAGATGAGAAGAGGTCATCGTTTCCCCGAAAGGCCCATCAGCTGAGTGTAGACCTTGGTTTAAAAGGGAACCACATAGCTTCCATGGCGTCTTGATTCAGTCAATGTGCATGTATCCCATGCTTACCTTCGAGAGTCAACACCATGCGATCTTTGACGTTCCTCGCTATCTTTACCGCAGCGCCCTCTGCCTTAGGGGCGAGCAAGCCACAAATGGGTGAGAGAATTATCCGTCTCATAGAACTTCCAATCCAAAACTCAAAGTCAATGTCCTACTCACTTACATGTCCTCTCTTCCGAGACAGGTTGGAACTCGTGGAACACATTCAAGCAGAATATCAACCAGACCCTGATTGAGGACACAGCAACGGCAATGGTAGAAAAGGGCCTAGCCAAGGCGGGATACAGCTACGTCGTCATGGATGAGGGCTGGCAGGCTCTCGAACGAGACGTCGAGGGCCGGCAGCAGCATAATGCTACCCGCTTCCCGTCTGGTATCTCGGCACTCGCGGAGCACGTACATAACCTAGATCTCAAGATTGGTCTCTACAGGTACTCTACTTACTTGCATGGATGCTTCTCACTCTGCCTCCCCCTTCTGCTCCTTTCCCTTGGGGCAGGTCGAGCTGAAGAGCAGAAAGCGACTCGCGAAAACGAATGCTAACGAAAACTTAGTGACTCGGGAATCTTTGGCTGCGGCTTTACACCCGGCTCCTGGGGCTACGAAGAGCTCGATGCCCAAACCTACGCCGCCTGGGGCATCGACTACCTAAAGTACGACAACTGCGGCGGCTTCCACGCGGGCACGCACACCCAGCAGGAACGCTTCCAGACAATGTCGTCCGCCCTCCTGGCAACCAGTCGCGATATACTCTACAGTCTGTGCCAGTGGGGCCACCAGTTCCCCTGGTACTGGGCGGATCAGGTCGGTGCCGCCTCGTACCGTATGTCTGGCGACATTTACGCGCGGTTCGCCGAGGACAAGACCAATATCTGCAAGACGGCGTACTGTCTTAACACCGGGTACGCCGGAGTGAGCGTACTGACTATGATCCGGAAGATGAGGGAGATCTCGCCGTTTCAGGCCAAGGAGAAAGGTAGTTGGGCAGACATGGATATGTTGGAGGTCGGGGTCGGGTATAATCTCAGCGGAAAGATCGTGTACATGTCCGAGGTGGAGGAGCAGACGCACTTTTCGTTTTGGGCGGCGCTGAAGTCACCTCTCATCATCGGTGCCGACATCACAAAGATCCGGGATTCGTCGTTGAGGATTCTACTCAATCAGGACATCATCGCCATCTCGCAGGATGAGAGGGGCGAAGCTGTGAGATACTTGCCCAGGTTGTCGAGGGAGGACGAGGTGCAGGTATGGGGAGGCGCCATCGAGACGGGGGCGTACCGCCACGTTATTCTCGCCTTGAACTATGGGAAAAACAAGACGAACATCGAGGTGCCGTGGAAGGAGGTCGAGGGGTTGGAAGAGTGTCCCGGTGGAGGGTTAAAAGTGAAGGATGTATGGGCCGATGAGGATTCGGGGATCGTCAAGGAGAAGATCACCTTGGAAGGGGTGACGGTCGGGCAGACCAAGGTTCTCTTGCTGTCTTGCTAGATATGCAGGAGGGTATTCTGGTAGTTACATATCTGGCAGAGCTACAACCAGTTCAAGAGGAGCATCTGTGAGCCAACTCGTGATTTCAACAGTTAGATGGAAGTCTTCGGATGGAGCTTCATAGAAAGGAACAGAGTCTAGGTTTGTTATATGTGTCTAGCTTTATTGGTTCTTGTTTCATGCCTGCATCTCGCTTGAACCGTATTGTCTTAAACTTGGCGAAATCTAAGGCTTACCAGAAAAGAAAACCAATCTCGAAGGTTGAGGGAAAGAAACATGATGACAGGCGGGTTAAAAAAGTCAGATCGATTCTGGTGACTATATCAATCTCACGGTAGTAAGTCCCAGCCATGATCTTTGGTCTCCACGGAGAAACCCGGAGTGATCGGCTTCCAACATGTTCGGGGACCTAGAGGCCAAGGAAACGACTATTGGACTGGCACCAGCGGCAAGCCTCAGTGTCCATTTCGTGGAACACTACACTAGTCTCTGAGTAATCCAACAGATTGACCCTTACAAGCGAGGTCCTCGTTCATTCTTGCATCCCGAGTGGCTTGGTTTTCTCGATTCCCCTATACCGGAGTGCGGAGCAAGTCCCGGACAATCCTCCGGCACCACCAACACAACGCAGAACTTTCCACCGAGCACGACAAACCGCTTTTCATCGATAGGCTATGCGGCCCGAAAGCTCTACCGCCGGGAGCCGATGGGTCGTCTGTCAACTTGCGAGCCATGTTTCTATCGGGAAGGTTTGCCCGCGGGGATGTGTTCCATGACTAAGGCGTTGTGTCTCTTGGCCGTAATCCCCACGGAGTCAGAGGTCTGGGAGGCGAATAGGATGAATAGGAAAGTGATTACTTGAATGCGGTGCCCCGAAAGACGAGTTCCTAGTGAGTACGTTCCATCAGTCTCTTATGTCCTTTGAGAAAGCGCGCACTACAATTTGCTGTCGATTACTCCAAGCCTACCTACTTCAGAAGAAATCACAGGACAGAGAAGCTTCAACTAAGTCAAAACTAGCAACATGACTACTGAAGCCATCATAACAGAAGAAGTCCCAGTCACGAACAATCTCAGTAAGAGGTTAGTTGACAATGGCACGGACTTCAAGATGGGCGGCAACGCTTGTGTGAGTAAAACCGTGCTCTTAACGCCCTCATCACCATCGTCACTACCGCGGCCCCTCCATGCTAACGCAAAGTGTTTTCACCCCAACAACAGAAGCGCAGCAAACACGTTCAGGAGAAGATGGAAACAGTAGCCGGTCTCACGACTCCTCCGTTCTCTTCAGCAGAGATCATCAAGCAGGGAGAAAAGTCTCTGGCGGCCTCGCTCTTCTCACCCAAGGTCGCAGCCAAGATCTGGGGCGTGGCACAACAAAGCTTCTCATCGGTATGAGCAACTCCCCTAATCAGCTGCCGTAAGAATCGAAAGCTCCATCATCTGCTAACTAATCTTTTTCGGTGCAAAGTCTTTGCCACCGAGCTTATTCCCGGAGTACACCAAACCAGGCGGCACAAAGTACGTCTACCGCGAACTGGACTTTTGGACCTCGGGTTTCTTCCCCGGGTGTCTTTACCTCCTCCTTGAGCGAAGGCGTAGACATCCCCACCAATTGAAACAGCTAGGCTGGTCAACAGAGGATGAGCCTCACTTACTACATCTCGAGTAAACATCCCAAATACCAACATTCCAAAAATTCAATCAACTAACCTGCGAACTAAGGTTTGCTTGTAAGTGGTGGACAGAAACCCTCCACCCCAACGCAGAGCTCAAGACGACACATGACCTGGGCTTCATGATCTTTCCCTGGGCACGACCCGCGTGGGAGCTCTCGGGTGACCGCAGATCCTTCGAGACAGCTATAACGGCAGCTAGGTCGTTGTATAGCCGATATGACGCTACCGTGGGATCCATCCGGTCGTGGGACGTCTGCGTGACGAAGCGATACAAGTTTCTGGACCCGAGCAAAGACTTTCTCGTGATCATTGTAAGCGTCACCTCACAGCTACCGTCGACAAAGATGAATCACGTCACTAAACCGAAACCAGGACAACATGATGAACCTCGACATGATCTTCTGGGCCGCTTCCCAGCTTGGAGATGATGACATGTGGAACGCGGCTGTCAAGCACGCCGAAACGACGAGAGAGCACCACATTCGCCCGGACTCTTCCACCTTCCACGTCGTCAACTTTGACCAGGCGACCGGCGTGCCAAAGGAAAAGATTACAAATCAGGGATACTCTGACACATCCTCGTGGTCGAGGGGACAGGCGTGGGCTGTCGCCGGATTCGCGCAGACCTATGGCTGGACACGGGACAAATCTTTCCTCGATACAGCCATCTCGTGTGCGGACTATTTCCTCGAGCAGCTCCCCTCGAGCGGGATCCCGCCGTGGGACTTTGCTGCGCCCAAAGACATGGCACAACCTCCGGACGTCAGTGCTGCCATGATTGCGACGTATGGCATGTTGCTCATTCACGAGGCTCTGACGGCGCTTGGGAGGCCATCGACGTACCTGAGAAGTGCCATCGGTCTCACTCGCGCTACCTGCAACAACCACATCAATAGTGGTGGAATCTATGTGAAGTCTCAAAGGTCGATCGATACGGTCGAGCACGGCACAGTGGTTGAAGAAGTAGGTTGGGAAGTGGAAATGGGGGATGAGCCGGAGACCATATTAAATGGGGCAACCATCAACAACTACGAATTTGCGCCGCGAAGGTGGGCAAACCACGGACTGGTGTATGCTGACTACTTCTTTCTGCTGGTGGGGAACAAGCTTCTGGAAATGGGCGTCCCAGAGTTGTTTGACGACAACCAGTCTTGAGCATTTGAACGAACGAGGAGAATGACTGAAGTATATTTAGAGAGTCTTGTTTGATGAATTATCCGTAAATAATGTCAATATGCATCCCTAAGTCCCAGCTTATAGAGCCAATGGATTGTTTTTATCGTCATCATTCGCCTGCGGATGCGTTGGCTACTCTTTCTCAGCTGCTCCCGAGAACATACTGATTCGCTGGTTCGGCAAGAAGGAGTAGTCCAAGTAAGCGTTGAGATCCTCGAAATCTCCAACTGGGTGATGTATGTTGTCATGGTTATTTACAACGCCTACGTCGAAGTGATCGTATCCATTCGCGTGGCTTGGCATTATCGCACCGCCAGGCACTGGTGACGGCATGGCCGTCGGGCCTCTGCTCGCACTTTGCGCATGGAACGCTATCGGAAGCGGAGGAAATGCCAGAGATATACTGTCAGGGGATGCCTCTTGTTCATAGTCCATGGTAGAAGTTCCAAGGCCGCCGACAAAGGACTCTTGGCCGGTGCCTTGACTCGGCGAGAATGCAATATCTCGATGATTTGATCTAACACGAGATACCCCAGGGGTCCTCGGGTTGTCTCCAGCCGGCATGGAGACTGTGTCTGGACGGGCATCATCCGAGTAGACTGCTTGCCGTATGTCGAGCATTCCCCTGCCCTGGTGCCGCGCTTGAACCAGCCGGCCAGCGAATTTGGATGCTAGGTTGTCGGACACATCGCCAAGACCGTTCCATCTTTGAGCTATGACACTGAGACTGTTTACTAGTGAATCAAAGCCATCCGGAAGAGCAACGTTGTAGTAGGTTGAATGGGCCAGAAACATTCGTCCACAGATGAAGAGGCAAAACGCGAATTGTGGGCTGACGACTTGCTGCGAATCTTGTAAAAATTTCTCGGCAATGATAGCCACCTCTGTTGCGGCAGCCATGCACGTTTCCGCACTAGATGCTGAAGGCAGTCGTATTCCAGTAGCTTGCCATTCAGGCAACGGATAGGCGACGCCCTGATGAAGCAGCACTACACTCGAATTGTGCGTCAGGTGAGCGAGAGTAAGGTTTGGGTCCATGATGCCGTCCACGTTGAGGACGCATGCCTCCCGCCACTGTTCGGGAAGGAATATTTTCCACCTGTAGGATGTCAGTGTCTCTCTCAGAATCGATGATTACTGGAAGACTCACTGTACCAGACGCAAGTCAAGTTGTTTGAACTTCATCAACCAGACTTGTATCTCGTGTGGCTTGGAAATATCAATAGCTTGCTGAAGAAAGAAGGACGTCACCAGACTAAGACTCTCGGTGGCTTCGATGCAATACGCAAAACCTCCCAGTGAATCCTGGGCTGCCTCTTCCAAACGTGCAGTAGGAAGGGTTCCACTGGAACCGCTGGACTGATCAGCTACACCGAAATATGGTGTTGGGGTTTGGAGCGGTTCTCCATTCTCCCACAGCGCCCCCTCGCAGGGTAGACGCCGTTTCACGTCTGCGCTGGTAAGGGAAAAGTTCCAACCTGTTGCGACACTGCAGAACCTGTCCATCAGGAAAATATTCCAGAAAACTCGACGTCTCTCTTCTCGTTCGCTCCAGCTTCGACATAGCGGCAGGAATGCCATCCGCTTGATGAGATGCTTCGCAGCCGGTGGTTGGTCTTCGTCTTCGACACTGAGCTGTAGCTGCTCAACCGTTCGGGTCATGCTGCCAACGATAGACTAGAAACATATAAGTATGGACCAAAAGTGAGGCGACGTGCCACTAACCCAAGCCGATGGACCTCTGCCACTGCCGATCTGTGTTCATTGATCAGCTAAGTTATCTGAACTTAGGTTGAATACAGATCTGGGACTATACTCACGGTGTCAAAGGCAATAATTGTCAGAGCTTGAAGGTTCTCCACTGAGAAGGACTCCATGCTGTTCAGTATCACAAATTGCCGACATCTTCGTGCCCTGCGTGCCTTTTCCTCATGCAGTCCTAGGCGGGGATCTTGGGAGAACCTTGCGCACAAAGAAACTATGGCATGAAAGATGGTGCTGAGATGGGGACGTTGGGCAGGGTCCTGCATCCTCTCCCGAAATTGGCGCACGTGAAGCATAGGAATCCAGGGGTGAATATTGGAAAAGTAAATCTCGACAAGAGCGTCCATGAGGTCCAGCTCTGGCAGTAGGTCTGCTTCTGTCATGGGATCGAAATTGAGACTTGTTCGCGCTGGCTTTCCCGTCGTCTTTCCCGGAGTGGCAGTGTCTTTCGTCGGAATGGTTGCAAGTGTTGTCAACGCAGGCTCTCCACCTTCGGCCAGGGTTGCGAGAGTGTTTTTGAGCGCGGTTGTTCTCTCGTTGAGCGACACATTCGAAGAGCCGTCTTGGCTTGGACTGGGGGCATTGCGGCTGACTGCCGAGTTCAAGCAGTTGAAGACCTGTTGCCACAGAACTCCTTGACCTAGGAACATGTTTTCGAGCGTGGCTTTAAGCAGAAATCAGCTTCATGATAACATTTTCAAAGACTCGCCAGACGCATACCGACTCTCTGGCTGAGGTTCTCAACGGCACCAGTGCGCAATCCCGGTTTTGATCGTCTGTCATCGTACACGCATTCTACATCTGCAAATGGAATTAGGGGAGTTCTTCATTGGCGTCAGAGCAGAGACTGACTGTATCGTACACATGCCGAGCAAGGCTGCCGCCTCGAGCATCTAGCCTTCTTCTTTCGACAGGATTGACAGCTTAAGGCGTCGTATCAGCATGGATTGGTCATTTGCGCCGTGGTCAATTCGGGAAGTATCTCACGCGGGGCCTTCAGTATCCACGCCATTCGCTTGCGCACTTGAGTTTGTCCGCCTTTTCTTGGGTCGGGGCTGGTTGTCTTCCTCGCCGCCTGAGCGACCGGACAGCGCCTCGTCGTCGTCCTCAAAGACCATCGCGCATGCAGGGACTGCAGAAAGAAAGAAAAAGTCAAGAATGAGGAGGGAAGTTGGAGGATGCAACGACGGGAATTTCCTTCCCTCACATTCTTTTCCAGATCATGGCAGGAGCTATCTAACTGATTTGTCCATCTCCCGTCACTATCCAAACCAAGCGAAGGCGCCGCTGTCGCAAGCCACTTTTGGGGATCATGTCGGGGTACGACCTGAACGTGGAGAAGGTGCATGCGGGGAAGAAGTGGGCATCCATCACAATAACATGCCACTGGACCGCTAAAAGAAGCCACTATGGAGGGGATCCTTGACTTGCGAGCCTGCTGATCGTCGCTGTAACCGTTACTTTTCCTCGTCTGAACGCTTCTGAGACTGTAATACTACAGCCGTAGAGGCCGGATGAACGACTTGACCACGAGCATTTGAGGGTTTGAAAAAGACATCATATTCTGAGATCTTCAGTCTAGCTTTGTATGGCATGAATTGTCTCTGTTCAGATCAAATTTGCTCACTTAATTCCCATGGTAGTAACATCAATAGGCCAAAAGTCGATAGGTACGAGGTACGGGAGAAGACTCCTTAAAAGACGGATAAGCAAGTAATTTCGACAACCTCGGATAGTCAAAATGACAAGAGGAGGCCGGGGAGCTTAGCGTAACCCCGAATCTTGATCTTTCTGGTCTCAATCAGAGCCTTCTACCGTTACACTAATGCATAGCAACGCTCCCGGTCTCTGAGCTGACGATCCGCCCGCCAACCCCAGCTCCGGGCGCGGGCGAGGTCCCGGAGACTGCCCCGAGGGGACATTCCGCCCGCAACCTTCACCCCGGATCACCATCAGTCCACGTTTTTTCCCTCTAGGAGCGTCTCTGACTCCGTCGTTCCGGGCTCGTGAAAGCTGGGGTCCCCAGAGTTTCAATATTGGTTGCATATAGAGGCTTGTGATCCAGGGAAATCCGGGGTAAGCTATGAGACAACATCAAGCAGCCTCAGTTACAATAGGTCTGAAGAACAACTACATTGCACTGCAGAAACCAGAGCGCCGTACAGCATGAAGCAGGGACATACCGTCAAGGAAACTGGCGACAATGCCATCGCGCCGGCACCTTCCCATGTGGCTTATGAGCACCAGGAGGGAGACAAGTCGGTGAGTTTACTCTTTCAATATCGCAGAACCATGGCTCAATCGTAGAAGAGCAGGGTTGAAGGTGACGTAGGGCTTGGGGAGCTTTTGACTACCATGTATTCCTTATGGAGATAGCATTCGGCTAATACACCCCACAGGCCAACGGATATGCTGATGCTCAAGCGATCTATGTTGACGACAAGACAAGCAAGGAGCTTTTCTGGACAGTCAACAGACGAATCCTGGCTTGTATGCTGGGCACATACTTTTGCCAGTCCCTCGACAAAGGCACCCTTGGCTTTGCCTCCATCATGAACATCAAGCAAGATGCCAACCTCGTGGGCCAACAATTCAGGTAAAGCAATATTACCTTCTACCCGTAAGCGGGAAAAGAAGGTTCCAAAGAGCAACAGCTTACTCTTTGTTAACTAGCTGGCTCGGAACCATTCTGTATATGGGTGTTCTCGTCGGAGAGTACCCGACCAATTTGCTTCTGCAGAAACTCCCCGTCGCAAAATATCTCGCCGCCAATGTTTTCTGCTGGGGCATTGTGATTGCATGCTCAGCTGCCGCCAAGAACTTCACAGCCTTGATGATTGTCAGATTTCTGCTCGGAGTATTTGAGTCTTGTGTTCAACCGGCCTTCATCATCATGTTTGTCAACCCTTGCCCCTTGAATGGTAGACAATCCTGCTAACACAACTCTCACAGGACTTCCATGTGGGTATGTAGTTACCCTCTCTCTAGCTCCAGTATTTCTCCTATTTTGCTAACAAGGAAACTGCAATTAGTACACAAAAAGAGAACAGTCAATTCTGACCTCCCTGTGGTACTGTATGAGCGGAGTCCAACTAATGGCACGTCTACCTCCTTCCAATAGCCTGAAGCCTCCACAACACTCGACTAACACAAGCAACGTAGATCGGTGGCATCATCGCCTGGGGAGCCTCTCACTACAATGGTCACGAGATCAAGTCATGGCAGCTGTTGTTCCTCGTCCTTGGCGTGGCGACCTGCGCCTGGGGCCTCTTCATCGGCTGGTGGCTGCCCGACTCGCCCATGGCGGCCAAGTGCTTCAACGAGGACCAGAAGCGCCTCATGGTTGAGCGTGTGCGGGCCAACGAGACGGGCATCCAGAACAAGACGTACAAGCGTTACCAGATGATCGAGACCGTCACCGACCCCGTCGTGTGGTGCTACGTCATGCTTCAGATCACTTCCACCCTCATCATCGGCGGCCTCGGCGTCTTCTCCAACCTCATCATCTCCTCGTTCGGATTCACGTACCTGCAGACGCAGCTGTTGAACATTGCACAGGGTGCCGTCACCATCATTGTCATGGTTGGCAGCGCGACCTTGGCTACTTGGTCGAGGCAGACTGCCTGGGTCATGCATGTGAGTAAAAGCCAAGAATTACTCACTGTAAAGAGACGAAGCTAACCCTTCTCGCATGCAGGGATGCACAATGTTAGTGATTACCCGTTCAAAAGGAAAAACGACGCGATATGCTAACATCTAGAATATAGTCCCGCCATCATCGGCACAGCCATCATCTACAGCATCCCACCCAGCACCAGCAATCGCATCGGTCTTCTCATCGCCTTCTACTGCACCCAATTCTACCTGGCCGAGGGCAACCTAATCTTCTCCCTCATCTCGCGCAACGTAGCGGGCCAGACCAAGAAGTCGACGACGCTGGCCATGACCTTCATCGGCTGGGCCGCGGGTAACATGACAGCGCCCCAGATCTTCCAGGCCGCCGACGCCCCCCGCTACCGCAAGGGCTTCACGGCTCACTTCTGCCTCTACGTTCTCTTCAACCTCTTCCTCGTCCTCCTGCGCTTCCTCCTCGTCCGTCGCAATATGGCCAAGCGAAAGGCCGCTGCTGCCGCGGACCCGGCGAACATGGCGGCCGAGGAGGTTGAACAGGACGTCGGCAAGGCCGGGGCTGTCGGGGCAAATGACGAGAAGATTGAGCACTCGAATGCGTTCGCTGATATGACGGATAAGGAGAACCCTGACTTCAGATATGACTTCTGAGCAGTGTGTTCAGGCTCGAGTGATCTAGCCTTGCATCGGCCTTATTTCCGGATGGCAGGTTGCGGTTGAGGAGAGTACCGTAGGATGCGTGGTTCGAGACGTGGAAGCGTTTGGAGGTGGAGTGGATTACACAATGATTTGCCGTTTAATATCTAACCTTGATTTCTACTACTGCTACCATATCCATGTTGGCTTTCTCATTCGCTTGAGGTATGTCGCTCTCTACGTCTTCTCAAAGACCATACTTTGAGAGGCCTTGTAATGGGACAACTGATGTAGTAATCATAAGAAGGACGACAATTGTGGGTTGACCGGCATCCTATCTTGTCAGCTTGGCTGGTTAAAATGTGTATGTTGGCACGGCAGAGTCGACGCTGGCATTACGGACTTGATGCTCAGTTTTCAATATTCGTCACCTAGTTAGAAAATTCACAAAAGAGTCGTATCTATCTACTTTGAATTCTGCAGCCAATGCAACTCGTAATTGAAGCGCCACAAGCCGTAGAAATGTCTCACCATCCGTTCCCGCTTTTTGCGCCTCATCACACCCCTGTCTCGTGTCAGTTGCCCTTAGTCGAGAAAATATCGTGGCCCTCCACACCTCGTCCACAAACTTGAGCACAATTTCCGCTCCCACTCACATCCAAGGACATCCACTTGGAGTACAATCTGCCCTGATGGTCTAGCGGTATGATTCTCCCTTAGGGTCTTCACGACACGTCTGGGAGAGGTCCCAGGTTCGAATCCTGGTTAGGGCCCAATCCTTTTGCCGATTTGAGATCGATGCTTTTTGTGGTGATGGAAATCGAAGAGAGGGCATTTTAAACAATTTTCGCAACATTGTGGTCGTCGGCGTGTGACTGGAAGTGGTACGTGCGCATGCAGTTGTTGACTTTTGAACTCTATTTCCCCTGGATTTCTTTAGATTATCGGATTACATCTAAGTCTTGTTTGCTCATCATCTAAGCACAATATATGGAAGTGCCGGGCTGCGCCGCTGAAGAACATGAAGATTTCCCAGTTTCTGGGCGCAGCGATAATCCGAGGTGTTGGTTGTATAAGGTAGATCGGCATCCTCAGCTCGCTGCACAACTTGCGTCCCATCTATCCATGCTGCCTCAAGAACCACTGGAAATATGATCGCCTGGTAGCGAACCGTGAGTGACATCGAAACAGTCCGGAACAATCAACAAACAAAGACCACAAATCCGAGAACCAGAGGCAATTCAATCGACGAATGCAAGTACCGGCTCAGAAGTTGCCGGACAATGAAAGTGGAAATGGAACCGCACGCTGTTTCCAGGCTCGTCGTGCGCACGTTTCCTGTTGATTGCACCATGAATCGAAAATGAAATACCAGACGACGCAAAAACGGAACGGAACGGCATCGCACCGCAGGATGCACGAAACGACAGGCATCGAACATCCACGGCAATGCTTTCCACTCGGATAGCACACCTTCTCAGTGGGTGGAACCCGGGCTTTTCCGTCGAAAGGCCAACAAGACCAGACTGTCTGAGGTCTGCACTGTCCCTCGTTCAAAGGGTTGGAGAGTTCTCTCTTGACAGGTCTGGGCGTCCAAACCAGCGGTAATTCTGAAGAAGAAAAGTCCGAGAGTTCTTCCATGCAATCCAGAGGTGCGTTGCGGGTATACGTTGGTATGCTAGGGATGCGTATGCAGTCTCTATACCACGTACGCATACAGAAATGCGTAAAGAGACAGAGCCTCATTACGGATACTCCAGGCAGTTATTCATGTGACAACGGTAAATCGACACTGATCATGGTTATCAAACTCTGATGAAAGACCAGAGGAAAGAAACTAAAGGGAGGGTCCGAGTCGCTAGCGCCTCAAGATCCCTGGCGTCGTTCCCGAGGAACCACAACTGTCTGCTCACAAGCACCGGCGACTACCAGTCTTTTTTAGTCGCACATCTCCGGATTACCTTATCATGGAAAGCGTTGGTGGGGAAGCGTTGAAGCGTCAGACATGGTTCGGCAGGTGAGCCAAGAGGATGGAAATTGGGCGGTAATGTGGTGCCACCGTACCACCGCTGTCTTGAGTCTATGAAAAAGGCGAGACCATCGGGCTGAAATCTCACTGGATCGTGCCACGACGATGGGAAGAGGGGCTCCTGTCAAATTCGAATTTCGCTGGCAGGGAGGGGAGGGCTCACAGCCTCGGGCGGCGGGCCTGAAAATGAGGTGTAGACAGTAAGGGAAGGATTCTGAATCGGTAGAGTGCTCCGCGGTGCCCGGAGCTTACCTTGAGCAGCACACTTTCGTACGAGTGCCAAGTGGGAGCCGGCCGACCTATCCTTTGAACAGGGCATCTGTCCGTAGTGTACTCCGTACTCCGAGAGACAGTTATCACTACGGAGTACCTAGTAACGACTGTATCCGAACTCTGTACGTTGTCGGGCTAGCCGGCACAGGTTGTGGATTCAAGAGGCCGTCGACGCGTGTTATAGTGGTATTCGCTATCGAGGGTTGTGACATGTCTCGCGTTGCCGCGTCCACTTGGTGAGCAATTGGGCCCTTGAGGTGGTTCCTGAATTCGTCTCCTGTTTGATGATGTAAGTCGAGGAGGCTTGAGTGTCTCGAGGTCTTGGGAGGACAGACCGTTGGGCCGCTGAAGTAAGCGTAACAATAAGGTGTTTTTTCCGCCAGGTACCTGAGTGTGGCAGGCATGAGCCATGCTTCACCACGTGAAGATGTAAGGGAAGAAAATGCTACGTAATGTAGCGTTCCAGCGTATGGTTGGTGGGTGGTGACTTCTCTCAGCGTTCCAACCTGCAAGTTCTCTGGGTGTCTGGCAAGGGCCAAGCAAGGGCCAAGCCAGGTACCGAAAAGTGACCAAGCCTCCAAGGAAGGTACGCGCAGCCCTAAGCCATTGGCTCAAACGGACGACCACCCCAATCTGGCGACTCTTGGACGATTCTGGTGTTGTGATTGGCCACGATCCCGGACACCAGCGCCTGCACGGCTTCTCGATTGGTGCGTGCCACAGCCGCCTGCATGAGGTCGCCCCTCGATCCTGAAACGCAGTCCGTCAGGGAGTCGGATTCATCGCGACCTCCCTCAGCCCTCTTCTTCCCCCTTCACAGTTCCTTCTCTGCTGTTGTCTCGATCTCTTCACACGGCTCCCTCTTGCTGGCTCACTGGGGGCAACAAGGCCTCCAAGGCACAGTGTGGACGAGCAATGGGCTGGTCCCAAGGTGTTTCTGGTGCGTTTCTCATCCTCGCGTCTGCTGTTCGAGCCTTCAAAGACGGACGAGGGGCCCTGACCGCCCGCCAATAAGGTACCTAAGGTAAGACTAATGTATGGATACGTAACCAAGTAACCGCTCTCTCTCGAGTAGTCTCGAGTCTCGATACAGCGCCCCCTCGCCTGACTGATTGAATCTGGCGATTCCCCTCTGGGGTCTCCCTTGCCTACACAGGTCTCGTCCGAGACAGTATTGTGGACCCCCCTTACCGGCTGCTCTCCCGCTCCACCGCCCACGTCCCATTCTCTCATGGACCCAGTGGAGAGAGAGACTCAGACCTCGTCTCTGTTGCACTACGAGGCATCTCTTCTCCTCTCCTCCCACTCCTCAGTGCTGTAGTCGGGTTTTGTCATCTGGAGGGTGATTTTCGGTCCATCTTCACGTTCTTCTGTACAATCGTTCACTCCAACCTTATTCCCTTCTTCGCGACGGCTTCGTCGACTTCTCTCTTTTCAAAAACCCTTCCTTCTCGTGTGCTCGTCCCCGCTGGGTGGTGGAGGTTCCGTTACATTTTTGCTGGTCGAAGACAGTCCTTACCCACCGACACCAGCGATACCGACGACACCGACGAACGCATACCCGCCGATTTTCCCCCTACCGATCACCAAATTATAGACACCAAGAGACGCCGGACGTCAAAATCAAACATCAATCTTTAAATCGCAAAATCTAAAAACTATTTCCAAAAAAGAGGAGGATTCTTCGGAAGAAAAAAGAGGAGGAATTGCAGCACAAAGGAGCAGCCAAGTCTCTCCGAGCGACATCTTGGTTCTCGGGTCTCTAGGCTGCTCGGTTTCATCGAAAAGCTTCAGCCATGGCGAACAAAGTGCTCATGACCTTCGTGGTCGCCGACATCGTCTTCGTCATCACCGGTGCTCTGCTTCTGGGTTTCACCCTCATCAACCAGAACCTCATCAAGGAGGCGCCCACGGAAGGAACCGAGGCTGTTATGCGCTTGCTCACGGCCCAATTCCCACTGACAGGTACGACGACGATCCAAGAGGATGTCACTTACGTGACGGAAGTGAGCAAGGGAACATATCGAACATCGTGACTGACTTGACTTACAGCCGGTATTGCCAATGCCGTCTTCATCTTCGTTACCTTCCTCTCCACCATCCCCGGAATGATCACGCCGACTCGTGGCTGGCTCAAGATCTCGGGCTACCTGACCACCTTCTGCGGCCTCTTCAGTCTGATTCTTGGTGTTTACCTTTGGGTTCTTACTCTCACCACCAAGAACGACTTTGGCAAGACGTGGAACGTCCAGGACCCTCGTGTTCAGGAGCTCATGCAGACTGCTGTAAGTGACCTTTCTTCTACTCTCAAGCATCGTCACCAATGATTGACACTCGACATCAGTTCAAATGCTGCGGATACTTCAACAGCACTTCGCCCGCCTTCGTCACCGACGCTCAGTGCCCGAGTCCCGCCGCCGCCGCCCTGCAGCGCGGTTGCGCAACCCCGATCACGAGTTTCGCCAACATCTTCGTCGACAACATCTTCACTGCCGTCTTCGGTATGGTCGGTATTGACGCCATGCTCATTGTCACCATCGCCATGCTGCTCAAGGATCGCAAGGAGCGCGAACGTTACCGCCACATTGACGAGAAGGCTGGTTACCGCGGTTTCTAAGCCGGCGGCTCAGCTTTGGTTGTTCAGGGCAAAAGAAGCCGCTGGCTCGAGTTGGCGCTCATTCTCTGTCGTCTGTCTCTCGCTCGGAAAGCCAGCCTCTTCTCGGGAACTCCTTTTCTCTTTTGCGTGTGGCAAATCGGGAGCAAGCAACTGTTTGTGGTCTCCTTTCCTTCGGACCGGGGAAAAGACTGAATCGCCTCACCCCCGCCGCGGCCATTGATTGGTCTTAATCTTGTTCCAATTTTCTTTAGACAAAGTGGACAGGCAGAATCAATAACTTGACCCCTTCTCTTTTTCTGCGTTCCGCAGAAGCCCCTCGATCTTCTTCTCTGTTACGAGGAGACACCGGGGTGGTGTACGAATCTTAACGCATGGAAACGAATTTTCGGACGGAGATAGTCGAAGCGACAGGTCTTTTTTTGTGTGACGGCCAACATCTCTCTTACCTCTCTCTCTCTCTCTCTCTCAAAGCCTTCCTTACCGACGAACCCCCTTCTTTCTTGTTTGTGCGGACACCATATATAGATTTTTAGTGTTGATTATCTCTGTTCTGTAAAAAAGGGGGGAACTTGCCCTGAAAGCAGTACCTGTTTTTTCAAACTCTCTCTTCGCTCGTTCGATGGTTAGTGACCGGTGACTGAACATGTGGACTCGAGTGAAATCGATGGGAGGGCGTGAGATGTGTAAGAATAGGGGGAGGCTCAGCTCCTCATGTCGACAAGGACGGTTTATGCTGTGATCATATTCCAGGACGGAGGGAGATGCGTGTGTGCATATATATAACAATTTCGGTAGTCCATTCTAGTGTGAGTACGCCACTATGCGCCGGATCTATTTGTGACATGAACGACGTTGTACATTGGGATAGGCCAAGGGCCCAATCTATTTGTTTGCAGCCCTCACGGATTGAAATAAACAAGATTGACGATCATGGTAGGTGAACCACAGATGGCATGTGCCAGATTGACTGGCCTACGGACAGAGTGTCGTACGGAGACGGGGGGGATTGGAGGAGCTGGAAATAGAAGAACTCTTGGGGTGTATAGTGTAAACACGCCAAGCGAAACCCTGTTGAGCCCGTATGGCGGAGGAAGGGAAAGAGGCCGGTTGAGGATTTTGGGAGCTGGGTTGAATGGGATCAAGCACCTGGTAGGAGGTTGACGGACGAGAGACACTATGATGGAAGGGAGGGAAGGCATAGAGAGGGCGGACGTAATGTGACTCCACAATGTAGATGGAACGAGATAAACGAGCTGGATCATCTACCCGGATCAACGGCGGGCAGGGGGGCGGCAACGGCCACCACCTTCAACGACACCAGTTTACAACTCTGACTCGGCATGGAGTACCGCGTCACCCGTCAACATCTATCTCAATAATACGCGGCTTGGGGTGATGGTCTTGTCTGTCTATTGCTGCGAAGCCGAGTATCCGAGTTTTGTATCCGTGTGAATGGGAGAATGGGCGCGGCGACTATTTGGGATGCATGATGTCTGTGGAAATGTCGTGTCAAGTAGAGCCGATCCGGTTTTCTCTCTCTCTCTCTCTCTCTCTCTCTTTTTTCTCTCGCGTGCGCTGAGTGAATGATCAATCTCGTTTGACGCTGGATTAGCAAGCAGACAGGTCGATTTACGGCATGGACTTCAACTGTAATTCCCACGCAAGGAAGGATAAAAGAGATCCCATTATTTGACTAGGTGTGGTACTATGTCGAAATCTCGCCGGATGCTGGAGACTTACCTCGATTTGTTTTTTCATATGCTCATCGGAATCAATGGGGTATTCATCTCAACAGCTTCAATTGAATCGCCTCCCGTCAACTGTTCGTACACAAGATGGCGCCAATACCTAGTTATCCGATATCTCCCAACAGACAGCTTGAGATTTCCTCGCCCCCCTCCCAAAATGACGTTATAAGTCTCCGAGTCAAGATGAGATGGTCCAAGAGTACTATACAACAAGCCGCTAGAAAGAAAAGAAAGTTTACCTGCACCGTCGCTCTCCCGCCAACAAGTGCGATAAATATAGTGGCTTTCTGACTCGGTCAATACGTAGATGAGAATGAGCCCAGTAGGTTTAGATAGAAGAATCCGAACCTAGCTGCCCAGCTACGTCCTCAACCACACAGGGCTTGCAATCAAGCCCATGCTCTCTCTTCGTTCTGACCATATCAAAAAAAACCAAAAAAAGGAGCGAGCGATGACAGGCTCACCTTCCTTATCGCGGGTATTGTGTTATAGCAAATTCGTCAATTCTGAACTTTAGGTGGTGTTGACATGAACGGCGCCCATGGCCCACTGCCATAATGATCCCTGTCTAAATGTCCAAAAAGAACGAGAGAACGAACAAAGGCTAAGTTTTGTAACATCACTCACATTGACCGTGCACCTAAAACGTGACAGCTGTCTTTTATTGTCCTTCATCCACTTCTCTACATCCTTAGAGATAATTTCAGCACTCTGAACAGACTCTCATCAGACAAAGATAGAAAGAAAAAGGGCACTGAAATGAACAAATAAGACAAAGTGTCTACTCGTAGTAGACAACTGACCTCCCCCCCCAAAAAAAGCATGTTTTGACCAAAGTCAAATTCGACCATCCGATGTACCTGGCTCTATGACCTCTCTGTGCTGAACGAGGTCATTGATCAAGACACGTTGACGACAGGTGCTCCCATGAACTATATCAGACAGGCAAATGATTCAAGAATCATATAAAGTCATACTACTGGCAATTGGCACATGTCTAAGTAATCGCTATTATGCTCACATAAAGAAGTAATGGGGTTTCTTGATAGAAAGAAAAAAAGAAGATGTTTAAAAAGGGAATAATGACGTGACAAGTGTTCCAATACTCATACAGGCGAATCATCATTCGGCCGCCGGTCCCGTCCCCTATCTCGGGACCCGTCGCGTCCATCATTGCCTCCACTACCACCAATATCCCTTTCCCCTTCCCCTTGCCCCGTCGTCGGCGGAGGCTCGTCTCGAAATGCGGGCCACACACTGCCGCTCCCGCTGCTACCCGGTGGATTGCTCGCGCCATCGTCTCCTCTGTCAGTTCGCCACCACTTGAGCTTCCAAATGCCGCCCAAAGCCTCTTGGAGTGTGGGTTGACTGCTACTCTGACTCTTGCGCCGACGGCGGGCTGTGAAGCCCGGAAATCCCGTGGATTTACGTCGCCTCCTACCCGGGCCGGGCCGGCGTGACGAAAGGGACTCGGAGCTGGGTCCCGCTTCTGAGGACGAAAAGAGAGGATTACCGCTACCGCTACTTACACCACGGCGGTGCGGTAATAAAGAGGTAGATTCGGTGAGTTCGCCAGGCATAGTGCTGGAGCGCCGGCGCGAGATGGGCGGGCTGGACGTGTCGCGGTCTTCGAGCTCGCCCCAAATTTCGGCGCGCTCTTGCCATCTCCTGCCCGTCTTCTTCCGCTTCGGGGTCGGTGTCAGCGGCGTTGTCTCGCCACTGGCCACGTTGAATGTTGAGTAGGTTGTAGCTGGTAATGGGTCATCTTCTTCGTGGAGGCTGTAAAGATCGTCGCCACCCAGAAGGGACTCTTCTTCATCTTCTGTGTCCTCCACGAGGCCAAGTCCTGGTGCCAAGGATGACTGGCCCACGCCTGGCGTGTGCTGTTCGTCGCTGAGTCGCCATGACAATGCCAGCACACCGGCAAGTAGGATGACTGTCCCCAGTGCAATGAGACATGCCCGTAAGGGGTTGATCTGGTCCGTCTGCTTAAAGTATATCAAACCGTCCAGGATCGCGATGATGTTGTAGATGCAGAAAACCATGGGGTATAAAACCGAGGTCGAGACGAGCTTCAGGCCACGGTGTAGGTAGTATAATTGACTCAAAGCCAGGGTGACCAGCGCCAGCACGAGGACCCACGCCTGCCAGTGAATAAACTGGTTATTGCCGTCCGCGATCGTCTTAATGATCAGCTCAACAGCCGACTTGGCAACCAACAGCGAATGCGCCGAGAGGATACCACTTATGGCTCCGTAGGCGAGGCCGCGGACGAAGCGGAATCTCGAGTTGAGTGACAGGCTCGTGAAGTGATCGAGGCAGTCCACACTGATGGCTATTGATAGGACGAGGAAGGCCTGCATGATCATCCATACCACGAAAGGCTTCCGACCGAGGAGCTCAAGCAGCTCCTGGAGGTTGTGCGCAGGCGCGGGAATGGCGCCAAAGATGGCGATCAGCACGGCGCCGGTGCAGACGAGCAGTGTGCCCCATAGCGACCACCTCGTGAAGGGCTCGTTAAGTATGAGGGTAGCGCATATCGAGTTGAAGACGAGGCCAGAGGCCTGCAGGGTTGAGAGTACAGGGAGAGGAAGGGTCGAGATCTGGACGGAGCTACCGAGCAGGTTTGCGGCGATGAACATTCCCATCCCCAGCTGCCATTTCCCTCTCCGATACGGTGGCCGACGTATTTCGTGGGGGCCCTTTTCGTCCTCGAGAATGTGTGATTTTCGTTGGAGGGTGAGACCCAGGCTCTGGACGCTCGTGGACAAGAGACCTACGATGATTCCTATCTGCGCGAGGGGCAAAATACAACGTTAGCGACGGCTTTTTGGTCGTTCAGCGAGCGACAGAGGCGCAAAAGGGAGGCGGATGCGTACGGCGATTGTCCCCCCAGGGGAGATGCCGCCGAGGGACCCCATTGCACGCGCAAGGAGCTAGCCGTCGGTCATCTGGCGGCGGTCGATGTTGAAGCAGCGGCGGTCGGTCTCATGGATTTATCGTCGTCCGTTGTTTTCTGTGTCCGCGCTGCCGTGTGTGTCGTCCCGCCGGTATCCTAGCGGCACGTTCGTTGGATGTGCAGCTTCTCTTTTCGCAACAAGGACCAGATGAAATCGACTCCGGCGGTGGGACGGAGGGAGGGGCAATCGAACGCTTCGGCAGGATGGAGGGGGCGGGATAGGTAACGGTGCAAACGAGGCGTCTGCGATTTGCTTCGACGTTGAGAATTGGAGATGATGTGGTTAGGTAAATTTGTCCGACGGGTTGTGTCTCGCCACGCTTGGGTAAATGGTGACTTTGGTGTCGCTTCCCTCCAATAGCCGCCAAGAGAGAGCTTGCAGATGGGTTTCAAGTTCGGATGCGCGTCTAAATGGAAGCGACAAAGTCGGAGCGTCAGAAGGTAGGTACTCCGTCTTCCAGGCCGGCTGTCCTCTACGAGAAAATGCTGGTTGCGTAAACCTGATCAATGCAGCGTTATGAAATACCGAGTTTCCACATGGCCGGAGTCGGTGAACAGGTCTCTGGTGTTAGATGATGGCTCAGCTCGAAACACCAGACAGACGTACGTTCGCTATGCACCGACGCAATGGCCGCTCTCTGTTCCCATCGGTGTAGAAGAGGGTCGGGGTGGTCTGGCCAGGACGGAACCAGGAAGGGGGAGATGCCGACTGCACCAAGCAACCAAGTCACCAAGCACAAGGTACGGTCAAGCATAATAGTGGTGCAGCAGCAACCCACATCACACACCCCAGTGATCTCAAGGTAGGTACCTCGCCCGCAGCAACCAAGCAGCAAGGGACTCCCGCCGCTCTCCACCTCTCCAGGTGCCGCCTGCATTGCATTATTCAGTTCAGGTACTCCGCGTCTAGCCCCTCTGCACCTTTGCTATGCGCTATTGTGGTAGGCGGTGAGGTAGCTCAGCTGGGTGCATGACTGTGGTGGGTGAGGCGGCTGTTCCTCGGGCAATCGTCACCTGACGTGACCGGATTATCTTATCGCTCCTTCACCTCCACCTGCCCGGTTCTATGGCGGGAGGTGAGGCCTGGTGGGCCTTGGGACTGATAGGCTTCGCCGCCCCCCGTGATGTCACAGCTCGAGAAGGAAACGTGGCTGGAGAAGTGGACAAATGCCACCAGTAGTAGCCGCACAGACCAGATGTGGCTCAAGTGCAATCTGAGCCGGTTCCCGTATCGTACCCACCCGGCCAAGCAAGCAATCTGTGGCTGACGGGACGGATGGATACCTGCTATGTGGTTCCTGAAGCTGGGGGGGCCGAACGCCCAGTGATGCGCTTGCTGCGCGGCTCAGAGCACCTTAGGTAGTCAGTAGTAGGCCTCGTCAAACAACAGCTTCATTCAACCACCGCAATCCGATCCCGATTCTCCCCCTCCCCCCATCGCGAGACCTCCTCCCGACGGGCTCCCCACCAGCTCCTCTCTACATCCCACGCGATCTCATCATCGCCCGTCGTCCTTTTCGTCTCCGATAAACCTAATTGAATCAACAAAAGTCGCTCACGCAAACGCCCCAAAAACCGCCCATCATGTCTCACCAACCGTTGACGGACGACCAAGTAAGCTCTCCCCCCGTCCACGCCTTACATTTCAAACCTCGTAGGGGTTAAACCGAATATCCCGATGTACACGAACGCACACGAGAATGAGGGGGGGATGGAGATAGACATGGACAGACGCAGCCCGGCTAACCAGACATGGCGTGCACCAAACAGGTCGGTCAGGAGCTCCGCAAGATGACGGCCTTCATAAAGCAAGAAGCAATGGAAAAGGCCCGCGAGATCGAAATCAAGGCCAACGAAGAGTTCGCAATCGAAAAGTCCAAGCTCGTCCGCCAGGAGACGGACTCCATCGACGGCCAGTACGAGAAGAAGTTCAAGCAGGCCCAAATGTCTCAGCAAATCACCCGCTCTACCGTCTCCAACAAGACGCGGCTCAAGGTCCTCGGCGCCCGCCAGGAGCTCCTCGACAATATCTTTGAGGACGCTCGCAAGAAGCTCGCCAACGCCACCAAGGACAAGGGCAAGTACCAGGCCACTCTCAAGAACCTGATCCTTGAGGGCCTCTACGCCCTCTCCGAGCCCGAGGTCGTCGTCCGCGCACGGAAAGCCGACTTTGATGCCGTCAAGAAGGCCATCGATGAGGCCACCAAGGAGTACAAGAAGGAGGTTGGCAAGGACACCACGGCCAAGCTTGACGAGTCGGACCCCCTGTCCGCAGAGAGGTACGTGATATACGAAAGAGAATCGGGCAGACATATCACGATGACGTATCATGGTGCTAACGAACGAGGCAGCGCTGGCGGTGTTTTCGTCATCGGTGGAAAGGGCAAGATTGAAATCAACAACACATTCGAGGAGCGTCTAAACCTCCTCCAGGAGACCGGTCTGCCGGCCGTCCGAGAGACTCTGTTTGGCAAGAACCCCAACCGCAGATTCACTGACTAAACCACTACCCTTTTCCCATAAGTGCGCCTTGCAAAAACCCTGTATAGCCCTTTTTATCTCCCTTGGGGCTGGACACACTGAACGCTGCATGAAGGACTCCCCGGCGCCTACCCTGTTTCAAACTCCTTCCTGTGGTGTATCTTAGATGCTGTATGATGGTGGCCAACCCTTGGCGTATTAGGTAGTTATCGTTGCAACTACGAGTTCGTTATCATCTTAACCTATTGCCGTAACGAAAGTCTCATCCTCGCTTGAAGCTGGCTCGACGTTGGTATCTATCTCGGACGGCTTGTTCTTCCGAGAATGCACGAATCTTTGCATAAAGTCCTGTTGACGCCTCTTCTTGGCCGACGACGGACCCTGGTCTCCAAAGATGCTCTGTGTCGGCGGGCGTTTGGTTCTGACCGAGTATGTCAGACGCTCTCCAACCCATTCGAGCACGCTCTTGGCCTCTGTGCGAGCCAGGTTCGCAGCTCCTGTGTCGTTGATGCCTCGCCAGATGGCCTTGAGACGTTTCGCCAGATCGTCAATGTTACTGTTGAACTCCTTTTCGTAGTCCGAGTCTTCGTTATCATGCGCGAAAGCCCCTTCATCTACTGCCATGTCGAGGAGCTGGACTAGAGCCTTCAAGTTCACATAGTCAGTCTTGTTGTTGATCTTGAAGTCACTGTCCTTGACCCGGGCAATGACGAGGCGAAGGCTAATGACATCGTCAGGGTGCTCGTTTGCTAGAGCAGCGTCTCGAAGGAAGAAGGCGACTGCTAGGCGTCTGCGCAGCTCGTGCAGCTTCCGCGAAGTGACAGGCATGCAGATGAGCGGCAACATTCGCAGCGAGGTTTTGTCGAATCCATGATAAAGAGACGAGCAGGTCTCGGCGCACTATGACAGGCCATATTAGCAACAGCATCAACTTAACACCCGAGGGATATACTTACAAACTCATCCCAGGCACCATCCTCGACAGTATCGACCAAGGCTGCCAAGGAGTCCTGATGGCGCGTGAGAACATCCACATTCTCGAGGACCACCTTGTCAGCTGCCATGCGCAAGAGCATCTTGACAGCGTACGCAACTGTTGCATAGCTAAGATGATGTGCCATGTAGGAAACCCACTCCAAAAACGACTGAAGAGGTTCCCATTCGTAATCGGCGTAGATATCTCGGCTTTCTCGCACAGGTCGTAGTACCTCGTCGCCTACATGGTCCGCTGCGCCCAATTTCTTCAAGCACTCTTCGAACTTCTGAGGCGTGATCAGGCGCTTGACCTGTTTGCCATTGGCAGTGACAATCTTGCTGTATTCCTCCCGAAGAACACCGACTCTCTCAACGGCAACCATATCCAAGATCCAGAGATATAATTCGTCCGGAAACCTGACATTAACGGCAAGATTGTTCGGCAGCCCCGACATGATGTGTCGATCTCTGGTACCAGGTTTCTCGAGAAAAGACCAAGGACCCTTTGCAAATTTCTTCGGGAACGGAGGAGGTTCATCGAGGTCGTGAATGTCCTTTTTGAAGAAGTACCATCTGGTCCTCGAGGCACCGGCATCGGTTCGCTCCATGGCTCGGAGAGCCTTGTCCGCATCTTCCTCCGTCTTGACACCAGCAATCTCGATCAGCTTCTGGCGAGCTTTGCTGGGACTTTCTTCGACATCAACCATGATCTCATCCTTAGGTGCAGGCTCAGCCGGTCGTCGCGGGCTGTCGAAGAGCACATCGTGCCTCCTCGAGTGGGCGTCCAGCGTCTTGAAGTCGAATTTGTGCTTCGGCTGGATGGTGAGAGGTGACTTGTGAACCATCCTGGCCCGTCTCTTGGCCTTTGGCGTGCCATCAGGCCTCGGTTTGGTGGGGCCAAGCATGTCGAGATCCGGAAAGGAGTCATCGGACAAAGAACCGTCGTCGTCCTCGTCATCGGACCCTTTGATGACTGCATCCCTCGTGAGAATCGGACGCTTGTTCGCAGTCGGCGGAGAAGATGGAAGGGCCGGGGAGCTAGGTAGACTTGGAAGTGACGGCAAGCTGTTGGGGGATCCATCGACTTTCGGCTCCCCTGATATATCGCGCTTTGGCGTGCGTTGCAGCTTGCCTTTCTGCAATGAGGGTAACTCGGGCAGATCACCGGCTGGAGGGGAACCTGTTGGGCTCTCGCTGGCCGTCTTCCTGCCTGGACTCTGACCAAAGAGCAGCCTTCGTGGGGTTGTTGGCTCCTCGGGCTCAAGAGACACCCGAGGCGACGATGGTAGCGATGAGAAGCGGACCTTACGCGGCGAGCCGGTACTTCGCCCTGACCGTAGTGTTTTGGGTGTTGAAACCCCCTTCGGCGTGCCAGATCGTGACCGCTGTGATCTTTGCCGTAGTGGCGTTAGGCGAATGACACGCCGCATGGCTGGAGATAGAACCGGGGTATCTTGAAGTTCAGATAAGGATGACATGGAGGCATTGAGATCTGATGCCGTAAGGGCAGGCCGTTGGCCGGCGGATGAGTTTGCGCCTTTGCCAGGCGAGAATTTGGCGATCTTGGGATTCTTGTTCTCGTCGAGGTCTCTGTTTGGCGGGGGATTCTTGCTCATCACCGTTTTCACATCTCGGGCAGGAGCGCGGGTGGGCAGGAGCTCCTGGGTTGCTGCCGAGGACTGAGAAGCAGAATTTTGAGAGGCCTGTGAGGAAGAGACGGCAGGCGCGACCTTCGTAACAGCGCGGCCGGCACCAAAAAAGCTTCTGATATCGCGGTTCTTGTTCGCACCTGCCTGGGCGGTGTTGGCCGATTTGCGAGCCATGGCGGATGAGAGCAGGCGCCTGCAGCCTTGTGCACAAATCTGACCACGCAAATGTCTGTTAACCCAGGCTACTGAGAACCCAGCGGGCTAAAGACGGACGTGCCTTTCAGGATGTGTGGAGAGTCGTGATAGAATATTGGTTACATAATTCACTGAGGTCGGATACAGCTGTAGTTGGGAGGCTCGGGGGTCCGACGCGTGGGTGACGCTTTTCGCGTTGGGCGTGGTTCGAGGAGCATTTAGTGGAGACCACTTTAGCTGTCGTCTTATCTTATCAACCCTTATGTCATCAGGGCACCCCTTTGGAGAGAGGCTCTCTGGAACAATGGAACGTGTGCGGCCATTCTCGACTTCATGAATATGTTTCTCGATAGGTACAAAGCATCAGTTTAATAGTGAGCAACTTGATAACTG